ATTATTTCCTTCTCTGCTGCTTCACTACCGACTGTGAGTAAGACTGAAATAAACTCTACAACCTAGAAAAAAGAAACAGTCATATTTTCATTTGTGGTTCAGATATTTGAAATTATAACCATACTTTATTATTTTGGAAGACAAATAAGACAATGTGAACAACAGAAGTACCTTTAATCTGTGTTTTCCAAGAGGCGGTTGCAACTTGCCATAAGTTGTTAACAGAACACCCTCAGCAGATGATGTATTCAAAAGCATGAGTAAATCACCTGCAGCGTAGAAGCATATTACATAGTTTTCATAGCCGCCAAGAGATAACATTGCAGACCACATATTAACAGAAAAAGACTGAAAGCAAAATGCCATAATTGATAGTATAGTACGCCTCGATACATAATTTAAAAGTACAGGTCAACCAGTTTCCATACAAACAATCAACAAATGTGCATAGAAATCTGTTGGCAGGATTTGAATCCCACTTAAACAAACCTAGTATTACTTCTTCCCAACGCAACCACATCCTCACAATAGGAAAGTAGCATATAAGAAGTCAACACAACAACAGACAAGAGAAACTACGTATCAAAATCTAACAACCATATTGTATTTGCCCACCTAGGCTATAAAGCATTCCCTCCACTGTCTCGGGATTAGGTACCATGCTTCCATGGGTTAGTTGACGACTATATATATGATAAGTCCCCAGTGTAAATCTCTTGGGATCCAGCAGAGATATGCATACGGACAATGAATTAACCAGTACAGACTTAGGCCGTGAATCTTCTAACGTGTGTTTTAACAACCTTCCAGTGCAGCTGTATCAAATTGTACAGGGATCAAAGATAAGCAACAAATTATAATTATCAACACTATCGACGACTAGATGAAAACAATAGCAAAAGCTGAGAAAGTCTACCTGGGACTGGAAAGTTTTGTTGCAAGACCAGGGGGTGCGTATCTTGCTACAGTACAAAGAACTTCGGCTGCGTTGGCATGTACCTCGGGACAATCCTACAAAATATAATATCAATAATATCATTACCTGGGACGATCTAAAAGAAAGGAGGAAAAGTATAAGACAAGCCCATGTTGAAAGAAAGGTATTCATTTACTTACGGAGGAGCCAAACTTGTCCACAATCATCTCCAAAATATCTGTATCTTCTACCCACTGCATTGCACTTGTGTAGCTTGAGTACAAGTGTTCATCAGTACCGACCAGACGTTTTAAAACCTGTGAACCAGTAATTAGAGTCTACCAAACTAGTATTTACAGATACCTAATAATCTACAACCTATGGGTATCTCCTATAAGAATTACAACCTTCATTGCTTACAGAATAATAATTGAAAGTTCTACCATTTTATAAGAGCAATATTAGCAGTATTTACAATTGTTCTCATCGTTATTACTGGGTCTATTACTATTACTGTGTAAATAGAATCATAAGTACTTTGAAGAAGATGAAAACATGACACTTTTCTAACTATTCAGTGTATTCTCACGTAAATGTGTAATTAAAGTAATGCCGAAATCATGAGTTCCTAAATAACAAATAAAAGTACAAACCAACCTCCATTATAGATGTAATACCAATCAAATCAACAAGCTGCTTCAGTATTTCTTGATGATCCTGGTAACACGAGGAAGATAAGGTTAATAATAAAAGATTTCTCTATGAACTCCAGATAGTTAAATGTCACATTGGATACTGTTGATTAGGAAAAAGCTCTGTCATAAAATAAAAAGCTTTATCAATATATGACTATTCGATAGCATTATCCCAAAAGTAACAGGCACAAGAAAGCAGCTAGCTAATGGTTTAATAATTTCTACAAAGATAAGGATAAAAATACTAATGCTAGGTAAGTTCAACTCATCCTTAAACAGATATCCTAGTTCGGGAAACAAAATCAACTTACTTTTATGAATTGCATGAACGGGATGGTCTTCCGCACCAGCAGACAAATGACAACCTAGTAACAGAAGATGTAAGAGAAAACACGTAGAAGAAATAGAAAAGGAGTAGTATAATAAGTGGGAAAGCTCTCCATGAGCTTCTGATAATTAAAATACGTCGAATGCTATACACCTTGCTAAAGTATCCGGCAAGTAATGAGTTATGGGTTTCTTTAGCTTCCAAAAACGAAAAAAGTAATAACATCAACTGCAAAAAAGAAGGCAACACGAGAGGTAAGAAACTCTAAATCCTTAATCATTATAAAGCAAAAATGTGTACTAGAGTCAATGTCTACCTCCTCATCCTCGACTAGTGTTTTCAGTATCATTTCAATCTCACATGTGAAAATTTCACAGGCAATGAAAGGAAACCTGGAACAAATTTAGAAGAAAAAAAATTGTTTATTCGTCAAAAACAATCAGCAAGAAAGAAAAAAAAAAGAATATNATCCTTAATCATTATAAAGCAAAAATGTGTACTAGAGTCAATGTCTACCTCCTCATCCTCGACTAGTGTTTTCAGTATCATTTCAATCTCACATGTGAAAATTTCACAGGCAATGAAAGGAAACCTGGAACAAATTTAGAAGAAAAAAAATTGTTTATTCGTCAAAAACAATCAGCAAGAAAGAAAAAAAAAAGAATATTTGTTCAAAACACGTACTTGAAAGTTCGCTTCTTTTCCACATCCTCGGGAGGCTCCTCAATTATGTACCTAATTAGTTGCTCCACTTGCACTCTTTCTCTCAAGCTGAAATAAAAAGAAACCGACATTCACGAATGATCGGCATTGCCAATATAAGAGAATACAGTTTAAGACATGAAGTTGGAAGATACAAACAAGATCACAGATCATATGATGCAAAAAAAAAAAAAACTAGCATGTCGTAAACAATGTGCAGAATTGGAAATGTTATATACTGGTTGGATAAAAGACATTTCAAAAAAAAAAACAAAGTCCTAAACGTGTATTTAGCCAAGCTTTCAAGGTGGATATCATAAGAATTTAAATGATCATTCAGGTAATACATTAAACACACTTGTCACCTACCTTGACTCGTGAATAAAAAAATTGCATTTTCTTTTCTGATGAAGCATAAAAAGCAAAAGACAAAATGTGAAACATCCTGAGGGCTGGGGTTTATTAGAGAGCTCACAAATTTAAGAGTCGGCCATTAAGGGATTTGCATTCTTGAATGAGTTCATCCTCGTCAAGAAGATCCTCTAATGTGAACCCATCTTTGTCCAAAATTGCCTCAACCTGGAAATTAGAATGAATTAGGTATAGGAAGACACTTAGTTACTTATATCCCTAGACACACCCGAATCCAATATAATTACAAATCCTATGCGCTAAATCCTTCAACAAGAAAAAGAAAAAAAAACTCGTTTCAGAGACATTTTCGTGAAAAGAGGAGAAAAAAAACTCACGGCGGAAGCCGTAGACAATCCAGCCATTCGCCAGAACATCTTTCCGGCTGAAGAAACCCGTCGAATTGCTCCACAGAGATTCGGATCTTCGGAACCCTAACGAAACGAAAGAAGGGGACTCAAGTGGAAGCAAGTAATCCGAACCCTAGAATCTGTCGGAGAAGAAAAAGAAATTGCAGGAATTGGAATCTGAGATTGGGATGTGAGCGAGGAAGAGCCACCTTCAATTGCGGGAGGGTAGTGACGACGACACACCCAAATTAAGAAAAATAATTTTTTTTACGTGGATATCTTTACAAATAAAGTTAGTTAATTTGTTTAATTTTGCTATTTCCGTCCAAAGAAGTGGTCGATATTCAACCATGATAAGTTTGCTTTTTGTTATAAACAGACCACATTACTCTATGTTGACAAAATGGACAACATTTACATCTTGTACGACCATAACTAGAACTTAACCCATACAACTGTGCGGGTGTTTTTCATGTTTTAATGAAATAAATTTAAAAATAGTTTATGTTTTTATTTGTATTTTATATGGTATTTTTTGTTTACACCGCTATTAAATTTAAATAATTTTTACCATAATATAACTTATTTTTCATTGCATAAATTTTATAGTTGTCATTTTATCTAATTAGTTATAATATTTGTTATTTTATATTTGAAGTAGAAAGGAATACTTTTTCTAACATAATATTTTAAAATTTTATTTTCAAAAATTAATCAGTTTAAATTGTACTTATCATTAAATATAACTAAAATACTTTATATAATTTTGAAATTTTATGGCAAAACACATTAATATTAATTTCTAATTATACTTATGATAATTAGAATTTAAGTTAGTTGATTTTCGGAAATCATTTTAAACGATTCTAAAAAGATTTTTGAAAGATTTTTGTAAATTTTTCTAAAAATATTTATTTTCGTTTCAAATAAAAAGATAAGATATTATAATTAAATTATGGAAAATTTGATAAAATTTCTAAAAGATAATCCAAAATCAAATATCACACATGAAAGAAGTCAAAACTTCTATTTTAATAGTATAGATAACTAATCTATACTATTAAAGCTGAAGTACAAAAAGTTAAGTGTTTGGAAACATGAACAAGAAATATTTAAAATTATGGTGATTGGAAACAAGAATAGCCTACAAACCTAATAGGCTTATTTATTAAATTAAAGATTACTGCGGCCCGAAATACTATTATTATTGATTATGGGTTTTCTATTATTGATATTATTTTATTTCTGAAAATTATTTATACATATATATACTCGTGTTTTAAATTTATTTAAAATAAATCAAGAATAATATATATTTTATTTATATAATTTATATTGACTATTATTATAAGTTTTTAACACTGATATACTTGCCTTTCAATTCTTCATTAAAAATTTGACTAAATTGTTTCGTGTATATAACTTTGCATCAAATTTAGCCAAAAAACCTTATAAACTATTACTAAAATATTTACGGGTCACAATATTTTACTGACGCCCTTGTTACACAATACAATGATGAAATACAATGTTGAAATAATATACTATTACTTAGTAAAATTGGAACCATTAGATTGTAATTTTTGAAATGTTTATATATACCATAAAAATAAAGACCCGCCTAGTCGAACGGGTTATGATCTAGTTTTAATATTATTTCGACTTCAAATGGACTTAGATTGTTGGTACCTACTCTACAGTAATGTTTGATTGGAAACCAAGAGAGCAAAGTGGGTATGGATAAGTAGTTCTAAAACTTAGGGGGTTATTGGAACATGAATCTTTGTGGAGTTTGATGATTTTAATAGTTGAGAAGATTTTAGAAGTTAACTAGATTTAACAAATTTTATCAAATAGTTTTACATAGACTTCATAACTTGTGTGTAAAATTTTATTGATTGTTATTAACTTTTAAAGTAAGTAATTAATGTTAGTAGGAGAAAGGAAAAACAAATAAATGACCAAAACTAATATTATTAAATATCAAAAAATCATCACACTCCTTAGTTTATAGATATAAAAGTAATAATAAAAATATTTTTTTTTTATAATTTCGAAATATATGTTTTCACATTTTATTTTTTTATAAAAAAATTCAAAATTTTCTTTTCAAATTTTTTTTTAATCTTTTAAACTCGAAAAACCCTTTTGAAACTATTTTTAAATTTTTTATTTTAAAGTTTTCAATTTATCCTCTATTTTAAATTGTGATTTGTATTATGTTAAAGTTGTGATTTGTATCATTCCATAATTCAATTTTTTATGTTAGTGTATTTTATTACATAGATTTCAAAAATCTCATGAACGTAGATTTTAATATAATCTTAAAATCAATGAAAACTAATTTTTTTCAGTAATAAAGGATTTTTAGTGGAGTTTAAAAGTTCTCACCTCAATAATAATGAAAACTAGCTCAAAACAATGATCCATCCATCGCAATTCGGTGTTATGCATTAAAATTTTTACTCAATTCAATTTACAAATCGAATAATCTATTTAAGAAAATTTTGACAAAAAAAAAGCTATAAAAACCGTTAAAATCGCTAGTCCCTACCGGTCACCTAGCAACAAGTTACTTTTACAAAAGAATAAAAGATCCATATGCATTACCGGTTCAATATGACTTAACCGGCCACCCGAGCCTGACTCATAAAACCTTGGTTAACTTTCTGAACATTGGTTAAATTTAATCTCCCGATTCAATAAACCATCCAAATCAACCGGTTCAATCTGACTTTAACCGATGATCTGAGCTCCTCCTCCGAAGCTCAAAACTCTCATACTGATCTCAGATGGATCAAACTCTAAAAATGGAGGACGGCGATGGTCTGAGCTTCAATTTAGAAGGCGGTCTCGATTCCGCTCCCGTCCACCCCACAGTTTCAGTCCCGGTTGCTCCTCCCGAAATCTCATCCTCCGCCGCCGTTCACCTGACACCAAACTACGATCACTCCTCCGCGACGGTTTCCGGAGGTGGAAGAGGACGGAGTTTCCGTCAGACTGTTTGCAGGCACTGGCTTCGAGGTCTATGTATGAAAGGTGACGCCTGCGGGTTTCTTCATCAGTACGACAAGGCTCGTATGCCAATCTGCCGGTTCTTCCGGTTACACGGTGAATGTAGAGAGCAAGATTTGTGTCTATAAACATACCAATGAAGATATCAAAGAGTGCAATATGTATGTCTTGTTGTGTTATGAAAGCTAATAGATTTTGCTCTGAGACTGTGTCTGATTCTTAGTTTGGTCTTGTTGTGTTATGAAAGCTAATGGGTTCTAGTCTATGCAGTGAATGTATTTGTGTTACGTTTTTGGTTTGGTCTTGTTGTGTTATGAAAGCTAATTTCTACTCTATGCAGTGAATAAGTTTGTGTTTGGGTCTTAGTTTGGTCTTGATGTGTTATGAAAGATAATGGGTTCTGTCTACTCTATGCATTTGGTTCTTGGTTTGGTCTTGTTGTCTTATGAAAGCTAATGGGTTCTAGTCTATGCAGTGAATGTGTTTGTGTTACGTTTTTGGTTTGGTCTTGTTGTGTTATAAAAGCTAATTTCTACTCTATGCAGTGAATAAGTTTGTGTTTGGGTCTTAGTTTGGTCTTGTTGTGTTATGAAAGATAATGGGTTCTGTCTACTCTATGCATTTGGTTCTTGGTTTGGTCTTGTTGTCTTATGAAAGCTAATGGGTTCTAGTCTATGCAGTGAATGTGTTGTGTTACGTTTTTGGTTTGGTCTTGTTGTGTTATGAAAGCTAATTTCTACTCTATGCAGTGAATAAGTTTGTGTTTGGGTCTTAGTTTGGTCTTGTTGTGTTATGAAAGATAATGGGTTATGTCTACTCTATGCATTTGGTTCTTGGTTTGGTCTTGTTGTCTTATGAAAGCTAATGGGTTCTAGTCTATGCAGTGAATGTGTTTGTGTTACGTTTTTGGTTTGGTCTTGTTGTGTTATGAAAGCTAATTTCTACTCTATGCAGTGAATAAGTTTGTGTTTGGGTCTTAATTTGGTCTTGTTGTGTTATGAAAGATAATGGGTTCTGTCTACTCTATGCATTTGGTTCTTGGTTTGGTCTTGTTGTCTTATGAAAGCTAATGGGTTCTAGTCTATGCACTGAATGTGTTTGTGTTACGTTTTTGGTTTGGCCCCTGCTGATGGTTTTCCCTATGGACCTGGTGGCTATAATGGTATGCCGGATCCATTTGGTATGGGTCTGAGACCTTTTGGCCCGTATGGACCGAGATTTGGTGGTGATTTCACAGGACCTGTACCGGGGATGATGTTTCCTGGTAGGCCTCCGCAACAGTTTCCACATGGAGGTTATGGGATGATGGGACGTGGGCCGGTTATGGGAGGAATGGGAAACGCTGCTTCTCGAGGAGTAGGCTGGCCAATGTATCATCAACCAATGACAACAACAACATCAGTATGTCCTGGCACTTCCAACCGGAGAACACTTGAGAGAAGTGATGACAGAGGAGTGGCGGTGGATGAACATACATCTCATGAGATGGAGCAGTCTGAGGCTGGAAACAGTTTTAGAAACGAAGAGAGTGGTAGTGAAGATGACGACGAAGCTCCAAGACGGTCGAGGCATGGAGAACGAAAGAAGCGTCGGTGAAACCGAAGGTATAGAGAGACTTACAGAAGTTACGGTTTTTTTATATTTTAAAGGGAAGTTAACTCAACTAGTATGAATTTTATTAATTATTATCACAACTATACAAAACTTTTTCTTATTACTATCTTTTTTTAATACCCAGCGTACCATTTTTTTACGTTGTGAGAAAACACATATTTACGAGAATACCATTACTTTTTTGTGCCACGTAGGCAAAAAATCGGGTCCACGTAAGAATGCGGCATAAAACTCAGCCTCAATACGATATGAACTTTGTTACGGCCGAGATATAGGTGCGTTGCGGCTGACTTAACTAACCTAGCTGACTTATGAGAAATAAGCTGAGTTATGAACATAACTCAGTCGATCGTTATGGCTGACTTAAAAAAATCTGGCTGGTTTATTTGATAATGGCT